CAACATTGATTGTTCGGATCACTGGTATCTAAGTCTTCCGTTGTGCTATCTTATACATTGTATTGAAAGGTCGGTTCTTGTTCTGGTCTGCACGTTACAGTATGCAACAGTTTGGTATCGGAGCGGACCTCTCATTCAGAGGACCCGCTCAATCAAGTAGCCAGCTTGCGATCTATTGATCGCTCATTAGTAACGCAAGTAGGACTTAGTCAAATCTCTGAAAAAAAAAATTATCGCAACAACTATCTGAAAGTTCTGATATTCGCATTTCATTTTCCCTGCAAATTTATGATATTAGTAGTTCGTTTTTACGTAGCAAATATCTGAAAATTTCTGATAAATCGCATTTCGTTTTGTCTGAAAATTTCCGATAGTAGCATTTCGTTTCTCTGATATTTCGCATACATAGCTGAAATTTCTGAAATTAGTATTTTCGTTCTCTAGGCATATTGGGATAACGATAGAAGTGGTCATATTCTCGGAAACTGAAATTATTCTTTTCTGAAAATCGCATTTCCATTCTACCTCGCAAATTTTTTTTTGAAAACCGAATCTTGCGAAGCCTACCAATATTGCGTTAGGCATATTCGGAGGTTGCTATATTCTCAGAAACTGGATTTCGTTCTTTTCTGAAAATCGCATCTTTACTCCATTTCGATTTTTTTTTTTTCAAGATCGCAGTTTGTAAAAGCCGAAACTTTGCGGAATCTAGCCTAGATCTCGTTCATAATACCCCTCTGACATATCCTACTCATCATAGATCGACAGATATATACAAAAAAAAAAAGAAAAAAAAAGGGAAGTAGTCCTCTTTTATTTTTTATTTTTTATTTTTATCTGTTGATTAGGGCCGGACGAAATTATTGTCGGGTTGGTTACCTACCTGCGTTTTCCCTCCCACCCACCCCTTGCATGCATCCCGGTTTCGGTACAGTGCCACGTCAGCAGCGCCACGTCACAGTGCCAGATCAGCAGTGCCACGTCACAGTGCCAGATCAGCAGTGCCACGTCAGCAGTGCCAGGTCACAGTGCCACGACAGCAGTGCCACGTCAGACAGTGCCACGTCAGCAGTGACGTCAGACACAGTGCCACGTCAGCAGTGCCACGTCAGAAGTACCACGTCAGACACAGGGCCATGTCAGCAGTGCCACATCAGCAGTGCCATGTAAGTAGCAGTGCCACGTCAGCAACATGACGGGCCTGCCAGGCCAACTGCCCAGCGAGTCCCTTGCAGCCTACAAGCAGCGGTTCCAGGCTCAGATAGAGCCTGAGGAACAACGCCAGCTGGCAGCTCAGGCTGCCCGCGTACAGGCTGAAGAGGCAGCAGCAGCAGAGCAACTGCAGCTACAGGCCGATGCAGACGCAGATGCCCAGGCTCGCCGCAAGGAAGCCCAGGATCTGCTGCAGCGGCATGAAGCCAACATCATCGACAGACTCAAGTTCTGGCATTTTGAACCGAACGGCGACGAGGCAACACCGGAAGAGAAGCACAAGGAGTTCCTCTCCAAACTCGTGACAAGGTTGTTGTACGCTTGCAACTACCAACGGTCAGAGTTGGAGAGACAGTACCAGGACCCGACGCAACAGCATCAGGAGTTGGCAAAGCTCCGCCGCATGGTGCAGAGCCACGAGGATGTAACTCGGGCACTCAATGCCCGATTGCTGGACCTGGAACAGGCTGTACCAGGACCAGCTGCTGGGGCTTCCAGCAGTGCACCCTCTAGCCGCCAACTGGATGACCGCGTTGACCACGTAGTGGCAATGCTCGGCGACATCAGCACTTTCGCTGCGCCGACCACCACCATCAGCAGTCAGCTGCATACATTGAAGACCGAGGTCCAGCAGCTGCAGTCGACGAACGCGGACGACAATCCGAAGATGTACAAGATGCCAACTTTCAACCTGGAGAGGTTCGACGACTACACGCAGCAGGATCCGGTCCTGTGGTGGGAAGCATTCACAACGCAACTCAGGATTCTGCCCTTAGCCAAGCATGCGTACATCGGCGCCCTGTTCCTGAACTCAAAGGGCGGATGCCAGACCTGGTTGAGCCACCTGGCAACCTCCCACGGCATCGACGTACCAGACTTGAAGGACAAAATCACATGGGAGGAACTGACACGGCTGTGGAAGAAGCGGTTCATCGTTGACGACGCGCCGACACTCGCCATCAACCGTTTGTTCACCATGTCACAGGGCAACACTGCAACACGGGACTGGCTCACGGAGTGGCAGAAGATTGTGGCAGTGCCCAATCTAGACCTGCCTTTCACTCATCTCAGACGTGAGTTCTACAACAGATCCTGTGCGGCATTGAGCTAGGCTCTTGGTGATCACGAGCAGTACTCAACCTTCGCTGAAATCATTAACAAGGCGAGGGAGATCATCAAGACCAACAGGTCAGCTGCACACGAGAAGTTACCATGGCAGCCGACCTATGTGGAGAAGGTACGAACTAGTCCGCGACAGCAGCACTTCGCTGCAGTCCAGCAGGACAGTGGAGATAACCCTGCAGCCACTCCAGCATCAAGTGACGGAGATCAGGTGGCTGTTGTCCAACCGCGAATCAACAACAAGTCCCGCAACAAAGGGAAGGCGAAATCCACATCCCTGGCCGGAAATGGACAGCCAGTACAAGTTCCATGGGTCAAGTTTGGCTTGACCGAGGTGGAGTACAAGGTCCGCACCCACTATGGCAGCTGCTATTGGTGCAACAGCACCAAGCACAAGACCTCCCTGTGCCAGGATCAGGGCAAGGAGGATGTGCGACCCCGCCTCAGCTCGGGAAACTGAGCTCCGCAGAAGGTGAGGCGACTCCACCTTCTACTCCGCCAAATTCGGCCGCCTTGCTAGCGGCCTCCTGCACATCTGGGGAGGATGCGAATGTCGCAAGTCCTCGGTATACTTACGAGGATTATGTTGTCCATTTGGTTCCACCGCTGGACCAACCGCTCCACGTGCAACAATCCACCGCATGCACGGTTTCATCACCATCGCCAACCGATTCGGCACCTTCGCCGCAACCTATCGCCGAGGATTCGACGTCATGGTCAAGACTTGAAGAGCTCGACCCATTGACGTTCACGGACTTCCAGTGGATGCCCGTTCCCTCGACCGAACGATTGCCGAAACCGCATTGCAATGTGCTCATGGCACAACTGTGAGATTACTTGCACACTGCAGTACCAGCTCCGTTGACGGACGTCGGAGCAGAGGTTGTCGACCTTCACGCTTACATCGCGAAGATCGACCGCGAGTTCAAGACGCAACGGTACGACGACATCGACGCACCATTGCTCTACGTACGCATTCAGATCGGAGAGGCGACCTGCAGTGCCTTGATCGATTGCGGAGCATCTCGCAACTACATCAGTCAGGACTTCATCGTGCGCGCCGGCCTTGGCCCACGCATCCGGAGGAAGTCCCAGCCTACGCAAGTCACGTTGGCGGACGGTCACATGCACAAGTCAATCGACCGGTGCATTGACAACGTCCCAGTGTACTTCGCCCCTCACGCAAGTGAGGCGGTGTCCTTTGACATTCTGGACACCAAATTTGACATGATCTTGGGCATGTCATGGCTGCGAAGTGAGGATCACCCGGTGCACTTCTTCCACCGCACCGTTCACATTCGTGATCGGAACGGGGTACTAGTTCCATGCACGGTGCCTCTTCCTCATCCTTCGATCAGCTGCCACGTGGTATCCGCCGCAAGCATGCGAGTTTCCATCATCAGAGACGACATCGAGGAGATGGGGGTGTGTTTTCTCCACGCCCTCCTACCCCATGACGCTTCATCGACGGACTCACCTTCGGATCCACGCATCACCGAACTTCTCGACGCCTACAGCGACGTGCTCGAAGGCCTGCACGGAGTAGTACCGGATCGACCCATCCGCCACGAGATCATCCTCGAGGACGGGGCCGTACCTCCGCGCGGTTGCATCTACCGCATGAGCGAGGAAGAGTTAAGTGTACTTCGGGCACAACTCGACGACCTTCTGGAGAAAGGCTGGATTCAGCCTAGCTCATCGCCATACGGTGCTCTGTTCTCTTCGTCCGAAAGAAGAACAAGGACCTGCGGTTGTGCATCGATTATCGCAAGCTCAACGCGCAGACGAGCAGGAACGCCGACCCTCTCCCACGCATCAACGACCTTCTCGAGCGATTGGGCGGCGGCCAATTCTTCTCAAGTCAGGGTACCACCAACTCGAGATTCGCAAGGAGGATCACTACAAGACCGCGTTCAAGACACGGTATGGGCATTTCGAATGGCTGGTCATGCCGTTTGGCCTAACGAATGCCCCAACCACTTTCCAAGCGGCTATGACAACGGAGTTCAGACACATGTTGGATCGGTTTGTACTGATCTACCTCGACGACATCTTGGTGTATAGTCGGAGTTTGGATGAGCATGTGGAGCACCTGCGCACCGTTTTGGAGCGGCTACGACAAGCCAAGTACAAAGCAAACCGCGACAAGTGCGAGTTCGCACAGCAGGAGCTGGAGTACTTGGGACACTATGTGACGCCACAAGGCATCCGTCCGCTCGCGGACAAGATCGAGGCCCTACAAGTATGGCCCAAGCCCACCAACACCACGGACATTCGTTCATTCATGGGATTGGCTGGCTACTATCAGCGATTCATCACCGGATACTCCAGGATTGTTGCACCTATGACGAGGTTACAGTCGCCAAAGGTGCCATTCGTATTCGATGACGACGCACGCCGGTCATTCCAAGCACTTAAGACGGCWMTGCTCAYGGMACCCGTCCTTAGCATCTATGACCCCACCCTGCCGACGCGAGTGACTACGGACGCTTCCGGCTATGGCATTGGGGCAGTCTTGGAACAACACGACAGCGACGACTGGCACCCTGTGGAGTATTTCAGCCAAAAAGTGCCTCCCATCAACTCGCTTTATGATGCAAGGAAGAAGGAGCTGCTCGCATTCGTGATGGCTCTCAAGCGCTGGCGGCACTTCCTCCTTGGGCGTCGTAGGTTCACATGGGTCACAGACAACAATCCATTGACCTACTATAAGACGCAGGACACGGTGAGCAGCACGATCGGACGATGGATGTACTTCATCGACCAATTTGACTTCACACCGAAACATGTCCCCGGCCTCTCCAATCGCGCAACAAATGCACTCTCGCGAAGACCTGATCTTTGCGCTATCACACATCATGCCTTCGCATTCGACGAGGAGCTTCAGCGACACTTCATCCGGGTATATCAGTCTGATCCGGACTTCGGCACGCTCTATGAACAGGTATCTTGGGATCACCCGCCGGCCAGCCATTACCGCATTGTCGACGGGTACATGCTCCTCCACTCGAGAGGCAAGGACTTACTATGTGTCCCACGCGACCGTCGTCTTCGGACTCGCCTCCTCGGCGAGTATCTTGATTCACGACTCGCCGACCATTTCGGAGTCAACCGCACTATTGCACGGCTTCGACAGCGATTCCGATGGCCCGACCTCATTACCGATGTCACTCGGTATTGCGACTCTTGCGAAGTTTGCCGACGCAGCAAGCCCCGCAAYCGCAATCCYTAYRRCGAGTTACACCCGATGCCTATCCCACGGGAACCCGGTCTCTCCATTGCCATGGAAGTCACCGGTCCGTTTCCTCGCGACCGTCTCGGGCACGACGGCATCCTCACGGTTGTGGACCGATTGAGTAAGTATGCGCGTTTTCTTCCTTGCAAGTACTACTCCACGGCTCCCGAGCTGGCACGCCTCCTGCACACTGGTTGGATTTGTGGCCACGGTGTACCAGAAGACATTGTCAGCGACCGCGACACTCGTTTCATGTCGGCGTTTTGGACTGCTCTCATGCAGGAGTCCGACACAACAATGAAACCAAGTTCGGCTCGACATCCTCAGACAGACGGGCAGACGGAGCGGGCACATCAAAACGCTCAAATGATGCTTCGTACGCTCATCCGCCCGGACCAGAAAGATTGGGTTGACCGCCTCCTCGACATCGAGTTCGCCTACAACACTTCGGTGCATCCGGCGATCGGCGTGACTCCATTCGAGTTGCACCACAGTGGACGGAAAGGCCGGATCTTCGCCGACCTTCTCCTCCCTCGACCAGCCGACATTGACGCTGCCTGCTCTCCCGCTTCCATCCGGAAGTACAGGGAATTGCTGACTCAAGCCCGCGCAAATATGCAAAATGCTCAAGTCCGCATGCAGCAGCAAGCCAACAGGCGTCACGTACCATGTCCCATCCGCGTCGGTGATCTGGTTTGGGTCTCCGCGGAAGAGTTTGCACTGGAACAGGATGTTTCACACAAACTGGTTCCCAAGTGGTTTGGACCTTGGTCTGTGACAGCAGCCGCGGGTGATGAGCCCGATGGCCATTCATTTGTGATCAACATTCCAGAGCATCTGACGGTCCAAACGATCTTCCACGCCTCGAAGCTGGCAACATACACGCCAGCCAAGAGCGACAACTTTTCGGGCCGACGATCGCAGGACCCTCCTTCTATGGATGGTCATCAGGAAGTTGACCGCGTCATCTCCGATCGCAAGTATGGCAGCAAGCCGCGGCAGTACAAAGTCACATTCAAAGCATGCGATCGCGACGACGCTCGGTGGATTTCAGGCGCAGATTTGAAAGCATCCGCACCACTGATCTACGCGCATTATGAAAAGCGGAGGTTAGCTCAGGAAGCTTCACGACCAGCCCCTCCCACCCGGACTGTGGTCCCTCCCTCARACAGACAGCTTCGCCCTCGCAGGTAAGCTCGGTTCTACAAGGAGGGGGGGGGGGTGGCATACAGCGTAGCCACACGGGCCCTGCAGGGCCCGTCCCGGACATTCAGTCTAAAAGCCTAAAACTTAGGGCCTGTTTCAGCCTGAAAGCTGAAAAACGAGGGTCCGTTTCAACCTATTTCTGGGTCTTTTCACACCCAGAGTTTTCAGCCTGAAACGGAGGGCCATTTTCAGGCCCTCATTGTTTCGACCTGCCCCTAAGACTCAGGCACGTAAACAGGGATGCRGAACAGGCCAGAAATAGCCTGTTCCTCACGAGTTTGAGCAGGAGCTGCAGCTGCAGCCCCTGCCTCCCTTCRRCAGGCTCAGGAKGCACACCCRGWAGTACAYAGGAAGTTCCCATGCACTTCACGGGTAGGTAATTCAGTAGGCACGAGGTAGTCTTCAGGATTTCGGCCGCAGCACTCAGGAGGAGCGCTGCAGTAGTCTTCAGCGCTAGGTGGTATTAGCGCTAGCTGTAGTCTTCCGCGCTGGGCGCCATAGCTGTAGCTGTAGTCTTCAGCGTTGGGCGCTGGTAGGTGGTAGATCGTAGAGTGCGAGAGAGAGACTGGAGGAGGCCAGTGGTACTTACCTGTGGCGCCATCGCTCCAGCTCCATCTTCGTGGTACCTGTATCAAGACGCCAACATCACAGGTTAGTACTGGACACAGAGAGAGAGAGAGTTCTTCTTCTTCCTCTTCTAAGTCCACCTTCTCTTCTCACCCTCTCGCCACCTGACTTCTTAGACTACGACAGAGAGAGACAGAGTTGTGACTTGAGACTTGACGACATTGGATCCAGACTTGACATTTGGGATTCAGACATTTCGACGAGGGACTATTTGGGCTTGTACCGAAGACTTGATGTTGACGACATTCCCATCTTCCCCCTCCTCTTCGTCTATCCCCTTCCTCTTCGTCTGTGTATGGTATGGGCTGGCGCAATCTTCCTGTGTGAAGCGCCAGGCCCATTTCACACCATGTTACGATGATGATGATGTACGTTCAGGGCTGCATTGCAACATTGATCGTTCGGATCACTGGTATCTAAGTCTTCCGTTGTGCTATCTTATACTTTGTATTGAAAGGTCGGTTCTTGTTCTGGTCTGCACGTTACAGTATGCAACAGTTTGGTATCGGAGCTATCTTATACTTTGTATTGAAAGGTCGGTTCTTGTTCTGGTCTGCACGTTACAGTATGCAACAACCTGACTCATATGCATTTGATAAAGGAGGCCAGGGCCTGGGCGCTTCCAACCAACTGGCGCTGCGCAACTGCCTGAATTTTCCCCAGTTGCGAAGTAGTCCAAAATAGGCCTCTTAGGGTCTGTCGGGCCTGCCTTCACTTAGGGCGGCCGACGCTGTTGCAAATAGGGGCCCAGTAGGGCTTATCGAGGCCTTGTGCCTCGCATTTCCTCCATACTTCGCTAGTCCTATGAGAAGTTCAATCTTCGATAATCTGGCGTTTTCCTTTCTGCAGAGACTTCTCGTAGTGAGCGACGACCTGTGGAGCGGTCTGCATCAGTTCCTCCCGTGTGAAACATCTATCCTCCTTTGCATCAGTGTGATGTCTGAATCGAACTCAGTACTGCAGCGTCGGTTTCGGAGGATGTCCCCTGCCGGTCGGTCTTGGAACTGGCATTTCCTTGTGATCAACAATGTTATCGATGTTGACCTCTCCATCCATGGTTGGGGGCAGCATAGAGCGTCGAGAGGGAAACTGGTCAGTTTCCTTGAATGGTGCAAGCTTGGAGGCGTGAAAGACAGGGTAAGTGCGGAGATGACCAGGGATCCGAATAACATAGGATGGCTCATCAGGATCTTCCCCAACAACATCTAGAACCTCCCATGGCCCAAAGTACTGTGGCATGAGCTTACGGGAGATCCCGTGCTTCTGTCCCAGTTCTGACGATCTTACCCAGACTCTGTCCCCTATCTGAAATGTAGAAGGGCGGCGGTGTTTGTTCTTAGATTCTATCATTGCCGCCAGTGCCTTGTGCATCTGTTCTACTGCATGTTGCATCAGTTGTTCATAGCGATAGGCAACCTCAAGGGTGTCGGGCACAACAGTTGACTGATTGTCAGGTAGCAGAAAGTCTAGGGGCAGTCTGGGCTTGAAAGTCAGTAGCAGACTGTTAGGACTTACTCCAGTTGCACTGTGCACATCATTGTTATACAGGCTGGCGATGAGAGCAAGTTTCTCATCCCAGTCCACCTGATTGGGCTTAATATAGTGCCGCAACAGGTGTTGCACAACGCGGTTAAGCTGCTCTGCTTGGCCATTGGCCTCGAGATGGTTCCCAGAAGTCATCTGTAGCTGTGTTCCCTGTTCTGCAGCCGCGACCTTCCACAAACTCACTTGTGAATCGGACATCCCTGTCACTAACAATAGACTTTGGGAGCCCAAAGTCTCTGACTCAGTTCTCTTTGAAGAGTCTGATCGCATACTCGGTTTTTGTTGTCTCCAGCATTGCAACTAACCTAGCGTACTTACTAAACCTATCCACGATAACAAAGATGTGTCTCATTCCACTCTTGCTGGTGACCACCGTGTCCATGAAGTCCATAGACAGACTCTCACCGGGCCTTTCCAAAATCGGAAGGGGCTTGAGGAGCCCAAGAGGGGCCTGCGTACGGGGCTTGTCTCTCTGACAGACCTGACAAGTCTCTACGTACAGGTTGGCATCTCTCATCATCGTGGGCCACCAAAATCGCTGCAGCAGATTGGCTGCAGTCTTCTTGAAACCAAAATGTCCAGTGGCATCATAACACTCGCCTAAACATAAACTACGCAAAGACTCCCTATCTGGCGCACACAGACGTTTATTCCCTGCCTTCTCAAGGAACAACAGTCCGTTGACCAACACAAACTCGACAGAAGTCACTTTATCCTTCACCTCGAGTCTGCGTATGATCTCAGACATAAACCGATCCTCGCGATAGGCTTCCACCATAGAGCGAGTAACATCGTCCGCAAGCCCAAACTCAGTGATCAGTGCACCAGAGAAATCTGGTCTACGCGACGGCGCATCAGCACCTTTGTTGTACTTGCCCTTGATGTATTGGGGCTCAAAGTCATATTGCTCTATGACTTCGATCCAACGCTTCAGAGCGTCCGAAAGCACAGGCTGGGTTCTCATCCACTTCAGGGTCTGGTGATCAGTCCTGGCGTAGAAGAACCTCCCAAGGAGATAGTGTCTCCAATGGGTGAGCACTTCCCCTCCTGCTGCGCAAGTACGACGCCTATGTCATATTGGCTAGCATCCGTAGTTACTATGAAAGGTTTGTTAGGATCAAGAAGTTTCAAGACCTCATGGTGAGTCAACGCATGCTTCAGTTATCTGAAAGCAGCCTCACACCTGTCTGTCCACTCCCATGGGGTGTCAAGGCGAGTCAGGTCCGTCAAAGGGGCGGCCACTATGCTGTAATTCTGAACGAAATTGCCGTTGTAGCCTGTCATCCCTAAGGACCTCATCTCAGTCACAGACTGATGACGTGGCCAGTCACGAATGCTGGCCACCTTTCGCGTCATCGAGCTTCAATCCCTCCGCGGAAATCTCATGACCCAAGTACAAGACACGGGTGCGGCCAAACTTGCACTTCTCAACGTTGATCTTGAACTTGTGCTGTCGAAGAAGGCTAAGGACTTTGTCCAAGTGCGCAACGTGCTCCTCGATAGTCTTAATAAAAATAAGTATGTCATCGAGGTACACGATGACATCCAAGTAGTCATGGAATATCCGATTCATAGCGTGCTGAAAGGTGCCAGAAGCATTGCAATGGCCGAAAGGCATCACCACAAACTCGTACAGACCGTACCTGGTCATAATGCGGTTTTGTGTTGATCCTTGGGCTAAATTGCAATTTGATGGTACCCGGACTTCATATCTATCTTACTGAAGTATCGACACCCTTGCACTCTATCTAGCAAATCGTCAATGCACAGTAGAGGCTCTCTATTCTTGACAGTGATGGCATTGAGGCCCCTATAGTCAATGCACATCCTCAGTGTTCCTTCCTTCTTCGGTACGAATAGGACTAGCGATCCATAAGGAGAAGCACTCGGCCGGATCCAACCCTTCTCTACGAGTTCCTTGAGTTGCCGACGAAGCTCATCAAGCTCGCCTGGAGACATCCGATAGATCCTACCCTTCAGAATACTAGACCCTGGGATAATCTCTATCACATGGACGTCATCCCTCTCAACATTAAATAGATCAGGGTACTTGGCAACTACTTCCTCTATCTCTGGCGGCATTTTCACCGGCTTGCCTGCTGCAGAGACATAGACTAGATACATACCCTCCTCTAGATTTTGCTTATAATAGTTATAGAAGGCGGCCGCACACATGCATCCATGGGACTCGATCACACTACTAGCTTTGAACTTACGTAATCTGGCGGTCCCTCCACCTGGCAAAGTGTGTTTGACCACTTTTCGATCCCAATCAAACTGGCGCTGTGCCACAGAGAAATAGTGCATACCTAACAAGATATCCATAGGGAGATCATCGCTCACTAGGAACGAGATGCGATGTCTCAATTCCCCTCCCGCGTACGGGAAACAACACTCAACATCCTCGAGGTAGTCGTTGACTACCATGCGCTGTTTGTTGGCACAGGTCGACTCCACAGGTCGACTCAGGCGTTGCACTTGCCCCTGTAAGTCCAGGACATCATTGATCGGCACAGCAGCTTACCAGGAGCATTCTATACTATTTTGCAGATTGGTCAAGTTGGTTGAGAAGGTCTTCTATCGACACATTGGGCATCAGAGTTTCATCATCAGGGCCAATGAGTCTCCCACATCGAGATATACATTGGTGATCACTTATCATGTGAGAAAAGCCGGACATGGAATAAAGGGAACCACCTACGACCGGATTGATGACTATATCTTCTGCAGGGAGAGTTATTGGAGAGAGCACTGGTTACACGTGGTGTTTCCCCAGATCCCCTTTGCACCAAGTGGTGCTCTCTATGACTTTGATCGTTGTAATCCTAAACCGCTGAGCAGACGTGGCAGCAAGGAAAAGAGGCGTCAAGACAGGAGGATCTGGAGCGAGGTGGCCAGATCCGGGATACCTGTTAC